TTCAACTCTAGCGTGTTTATGAAAACTATCTTTAAAAAATAGAAAAAAAAAGTTTGAATAAATTTTTGACTTTTTCAAAAATAATTTATTTTATCCGTTAAGAAGGACTACTATCTGATTACTCGAATCTGGTCAACTTTTTATTTTTTTTTATTTTGTTTTTTATTATATTTTTATTTTATTTTATTTTCATGTTATTTTTATTTTATTTTCATGTTATTTTAATTTTAATTTTATTTATTTTATTTTCATATTGTAATTAATTTGTGTGTCCGAATTAAGGTGTTTTTGTTTTACTTTTTAAATTTTGTCCTATTTTTTTTCTGAGAACTTAAAAGACTAAAAATAGACCCAAGAATAAATCAATTAATAATGAAACAAAATTAATTCTTGCAGAATCGATTTCTTTGGGGCAGAATTGCAAAAAACAAAATTTATTGACCCCCAACCCCACATAAAAGAACGACTGAAAGTAAATTTGAAATCGAAATTCAAGTGTTGAAAAAGATACAGAATACAAAAAAAAAAAAAAAAACAACAAAAAACAGACACAAATATAAATGGTAGCCATTTATTTTATATATGAACTAGCCGAATTACCGCGCCTTACCTTGTGTCACAGATTTTATCTTTGTAAGAAAATGATGAGTGATTCTAAATCACTGTTATTATTTGTGGAGAAAAATGATGCATTTCAGTATAACTCAATGATCTTGCTGATGTGACCTCCATCTTCTGACTTTCTCCTTCTATATTTTGGATACGAGTTATTTCCTTTTTCAAATTTAAATTTAATTTTAATCAAAGGGAAAATTTTCAGTGGGTGGTTCGTGCAAAACCAGCTTGATCTGACCCCTTTGATATGTATTTGATGCAATACTTGATTGAATGAATTGATGAGCAGATTTCAACATTCATATGACGAATTGTCGCAATAAATATGCATTTTAAGGCACTACCCACTGATTGGTGATTTTTTTTGCACAACGTGACGTCCTCATTGTCTCATTTTGAACTTGTCGATGTGGTCTCCATTTTCTGGCTTTCTCTTTTTATATTTTAGATAGGATTCTTTCTCATGTTGAAATTTAAATATAATTTAAATAAAAGGGGAACATTTCAGTAAAGTGTTTGTGTCCCCAGGGACACTCTTTGATCAAAATGAAATATATATATATATATATATATAGGAGTCAACCCCTTATTCAAATTTTAATTTAATTCATATCAAAGGCAAATATTTTCAGTGGGGGTTTGTACCCCTAACCCCTGGGGACCCCCTTTGATCATAATGAAATATACTTATCCAAATACCCAAGGATTCATTCCCTCGTTCAAATTTAAATTTAATTTATATCAAAGACAAAAAAAAAATTCATTGGGGGTTTTGTGCCTCACGTGCCTTTTTGGTCAAAATAAAATATACTTATCCAAGTATCCTGGGTAATGTAGTTCCAGAATATCGATGGTTATTCGGGTGTATCTCCAAAACCCTAGGAGTTCGATAACAAACAGACAGATGGAGGCTACAATTTCATATATATAGATGTAATCTACTATGTTCAAATTATTTAAAAATACTGATGGAATGAAAACAAGAACTAAGACTTAAAACCAAATAGCAAGAAACATATGGAGGAAAGAGTGCTTGGAGAATTTGACACTCACAAGAAATATCAAAGGTTAAAGAAATAATGGAATGGCAACGGGCCACTTAGCTGACGAGCTTGTACGAAGAGAAATCAGAATTGGGAGGTTTGCTAACAGTTGCAAGGGAAAGGAGGTTTTGGAGAATCATGATCGCCCAAGTCCTGAAAGGACACGACATAAAAAAAAGAAGGGGGACATCAACTTCAGAAGGTGGAATGTTTTAAGTTAATGATTTTTTTTTCAAGTGTACTTAATATTTCCATATTAATTGATTTTTTTTGTCTTTTTTAGATGACTTCTGCTTACGGTGACTAGCAATCATAAGTTTATCTTTTTTTGAAACTGAAATTCCGTGGAAATAATGTAACCCCTCAGATTTTCAAATAGTGTCAGGTCAAATTTGTTTCCAGAATATTTCAACTTAATGACCTTGAACTTAAATTATTCTTGCATTTTTGTTTTGTTTTGTGGCATGGTGCACCATCATGCTCAAATATGCTACAAGCACGTATGTGCATATGAATCATTCAGTTTATCCTGCAAAAGTTCTATAGACTTTTAACCATTCCTGGTTGTTCCAGGCTCTCCAGCAAATACAAACAAGCTATTCTAAATTCATGTGGCTGGGATGGGGGTCATAGTATGGGGATATTTTCAATCATATCTATTTTACATGCTTAGATGTAACCGTAAGTTCTATGCTAACAGTTTCTTCTTTCACACTTTTTGCATGCGGAACTCTCTTTCAGCTTCTTACTTGCCTGTTAACTTTGATCTACAATGAGTTAAATGAAAAGACAATCGTTATCTAGTATCTTAGTAATTTATTGTACTATATTGGTCCCGCTGCTTAATAATGTTTCTCCTTTTTCTTATTCTCCCGCACACAGCGGCTCTCTTGCATCTTAGGGCCTTTATTGCCTTGCTTGGAGGGGGGTGATTAAACAAAATCTCATTCTTGGAGGTTTTCTGACAATAATTCTGAGGCAAGACAAATTGCAGCAATGTCTATTCATTAGAGAACAGAACGATTTTCTCATTTCTCCTTTGTCCAATGTTCATGCCTTTTTGGTGAATACCAGGCTCTTGTTTTTTCATTATCAAAGACAATCTTGATTTTTGGAAAGGTTTTGTCGGATCTTAGTTGAAATTCATTAACTAGACAGTACTACGATTCACATCTGAACTCATGTGAAGCAGAACAGTTCCATATATGTTTGTGTTATGAGACCTTACCCATGATAACATAATGGACTATTCCATACGTAATAAATACCGCGCCTCAAGAGGAAGCAGGAAGTTCAGTTTGAAGTCTGGAGAGAAGTCCGTCAGGAGTCTGTCAGTCAGTCAGTCTGAGCGAGTCAGTCAGTCGAGTCAGAGGCAGTCCGAAACAGAGTCGCGTTCAGACAATTACTACTAAACCTGATTGTTCATACTAACACTTTCTACCTCTCTGTATATATTCCTGTTTGTAATATATCTGTGTTATTCCATACCTGTGTTCGAGTTCTTCTTTATTGGTTCTACCTTGGACTATCACCGTGGTACAAGGAACCGGACCATAACAATTTTTATTCCCGTGTAAACGAAATCAGTGTCTTTCTACTTCTCTGTATATATTCTTGTTTCTAATATATCTGTGTTATTCCATATCCGTGTTCGAGTTCTTCTTTATTGGTTCTACCTTGGACTATCACCGTGGTACAAGGAACCGGACCATAACAATTTGTATGAACTTGTCGGAGTTCGGGAAAAGATGGATTTTCTCTCTAAGATAGTGTTGTAGCATACCTACGGACGATAATAGGTATGTCCCCATTCACATAAATACAATACTGTATGTTGGTCTGCAGTTGGCGATACGTCCCCAGCGTGGGGTGGTTGGTAGATCTCCTGCTGTTGGAGATTCGTCTCCAGTTGTGCTGGTCAAACTCCGGGCAGAGATGATACCTAGACGAGGCCATGTCGAAGGGAAAAAGCTTCATTTTATACGAGGTATACGCGGAATTTTTGTCCGAGCCTGCGGGCTCTGATACCCCTCATTAAATTCGGCCTTTTTGCCAAATCTGACAACGTAGAGCGGTTGGTAGATATCCTGCAGTTGGATATTCGTCTCCAGCTGTGCTGGTCAAACTCTCTGCATCCGAGCAGAGAGGATTCCCAGATGAGGCTATGTCGAAGAGCAGCGTCTCGTCTCGGGAACAGCCATCCGATCCCGTTTTATATGGGGTCTAAAGGGAATTTTTAGCTGAGCCTATGGGCTCGGATACCCCACATTAAATTCGGTCCACATCTAACAACATGGGGCGATTGGTAGATATCCTGCAATTGTGGAATTTACTTGACTCATTTCTAGCAGTTGACTAATTCTTCTACGCGCCGCTGGCGAATCTTATAAGTGTTGTTCGTCTCCTTAGTATTATCGTTCATTACCAACCTTCGTTTAATTATTCGATTTAGTAAACTTCCCTAGGTTACAACAGATTGCAATTTTTCTTTAGGCCAAAATAGGAGGCAGTCAGCTTGTTGCAGTGTTTAAACAACCAATCTGAACTGGGATGCCACGTTCTGAGTACCTCTTGCCGTTTAATAATCATCTTTGGTCCCTTTGGACGTCAAACTTAACGATTTTTTTGCCTATTTTTCCATATAAAATTACTGAAATCTATTCTTTTGAACAACTTGACATCATTCAAACTGCTCCAAACTCTATGTTACGGTGTCTCAAACTTGAGGCTGAAGTAATATTGTAATTTGTTTGCATGAACTAAAAGTCGATATTGCAATGTCCTAGAATTGTTATTGCAATTAAGAAGTGTTAAATGTTAATAATCTTAAACGGTTGGCCAAGACTGTGTTAATGAGTCATTATTACTCGCTGTTTTAGCCTGTAGAAGATATCGAGATAACATGACTTATTTCTCACCATTTCAAGTACCTCGTCATATAGATCAATAATAAACTATTTGATGTCAGAGATAAGGAAACTGAACAGAGAACAGGCTGCTCTAGGGTTAGTTTTTTTTTTTTCAAACACCACAAATTGATCCAACACCACACAAAATAAACTAAAAATCCGTGTCATATTCTTAAATAGCATCTTCAGATCAAGACTTTTATATGGATGCCAAACCCGTTCAGAAATATCTAAACTGTCAGTTGTATTCATCAGATCAATGATTACAATTGACTTCGTAGTAAAGAAGCCTGTAAGTCATAGAGACGACCATATTGCTTCGAACCTCTTGGAATGTCGCTACAGAAACACAATCAAATAAATGTTATATACAATACAAATAAAAGAAGAATAAGATAAAATAACAACAAGCAAAGTTTCCTCTTCTATTGAACTATCTTCGTTTTCGGCTGAAAAAAGGAGAAATTAAGGGGAAAACAGCTTTATTGATGTTTCTAGTTTGGTATCTGAATGCCCGGAAGAAAAAAGAAGGAATTGTCCAAGAATGACGGAAATGAAGAAAGAAATTGATGAATATAGTAAAAACGAAATAGAAAAAGAAAAAAAAACATGCGAGAAACGAATACATTAAATAACAGAGCAATGAATGAATGACTGAATGAAAGAAGGAAGGAAGGAAGGAAAGAAGGAAGGAAGGAAGGAAAGAAGGAAGGAAGGAACAAACGAACGAAGGATTGTAGGAAGGAAGGAAGGAAGGAAGGAACAAATTAGAAAAAAATGATGAACTGAAAAGTAAATATGAAATCTAATGAAGAAAAAAGAATGATGAAAAAAATGAATTCAGTGGAAAAAGAAATAAAAAAATGAAGAAGTAAATATTAAAGAAACGGAATAAGTATGATTGTGTGAAAGAAAAACAAAGAAAAAAGAAAAAGAAAACGAAGAAAACAAATATAATATAGAAAGAATGAAAAAAGCGAAGCAGGAGAAAGAAAGAAAGAAAGAAAGAAAGAAAGAAAGAAAGAAAGGAAGAAACAAACAAACAAACAAACAAACAAAAAAACAAACAAACAAGTGTACCAAATAAATTTGAGCTTTTGGGAGGCCTTTTTACGCGTTTCCAATGGGCCTCCTCCAAAATAGGTTAACATTTAGAATATTAAAAAATTACAGGCAAGTTTGTTATGCCAGTTTGTTATGCTCAAGGGCTACAAGCACCATATAACCGAGTACTTGCTGCCTGATGTAGACACATCGACGATTAAACAGGGTTTCTTTTGAACAGAGTGGCTAAACACACAGCAGAATTATAAAAAAAAACACTATTCAAAGGGCTGATGAACCATATAGCTTCAAAAGCTATTTAACACAATGGAGTAGATGGGATTCCATAGCCATGTGAGTAGCCAGTGTCAAAGGCGTAGAATCAAAGGTTAAGTGATAATGGCTAAGCGAGCATACAAACATATACTCGATCATGGGACTGATGATGATGACGATGATCATCATCATGTTTACCTACATTGTGTATAATTCTTAGTAAGGCCTTCGTGGCTCAAGCAGCAAACAGTTCCACAGAAGATAAATCAAAATAAGATAAAAACAAGCGAAATTCATTTTTACTGACATTTTTTTTTTAAGCATTTCACCTCAAGCAAAGTAGAAGTGCCACTAACACGCAAGGAGAGTGGGAGCAAGAGTGAAGAGGCGTGAAAGAGGAAAGGATGAAGAGGGAGACGGGGAATTAGATCAAGGCATCTAGAGATGTCGATTGACATTACATTTCGATAATTGGAGATTATTGCTATCAGGGAAGCAAGTAAGAGCGAGACATAAAACTATTGGAGCAGAAGAGGCGGCTACATTTAACAGTTTCGACATTGAAAGGGTGGCACTGAGATGCCAACCTAGTTGCACTTTTAAGTTCCTACATTGGGAACTAGCGAAAGTAGCTCGTCGGAGCAGTTACCGTGACAGTATTTGTAGAAAAGACAGAGGGGGAGCGACGCCACGTCTGTGAGTGAGCGACTGTAAACGAGATGCCAGATCAGGGCCAATCACATTGCATATCCGTCTCTGGATTTAGTCGAGAACCTTAAGATGAACACCTGTGGCTCTCGACCATATATGGCAGCTGTATTCCATGCAAGGGCGAATGGTGGATTTACAGATTTGAAGGATGTACTCGGATGAGAAAAACTTTCTGGCACGACACATAGAACGAACTTTCCTTGCGGTAGATGAAGCTATTGATTCAATGTGATTGTTCCATCTCAGGTCAGCGGACAGTGTGAGACCAAGCAGTCGCAGCGAGGAGCTCTCGTGGAGCTGAGTTTCAGACATTATAATGGGAGACAGGGAGGGTTCTCTGTGGTGGGTAAAAGAGAGCAGTTTTGTTCTTGAGACATTAAAATTAACAAGCCATTTCTTGCCCCAGTCAGCAACATATTAGAGGTCTTCTTCGAAACTAACGGCCAGGTTAGGTCTTCATTTTTGAGATAATAATGGAAAGATTAAGGTGAAAAGACGAAATGCTGATTATCGGGAACACTAGGGGGATTGCTGAATGCTTGGAAGAAAAGAGGAAAAGAAATAATGGAGGAGAAATAAAAAAACAGAGAAGGAATTAATTGGATATAATAAAAACGAAATAAAGAAATGCCAAAAATGAAGAGATTAAAGAATGACTGAATGAACGAATAAACGGTAGAAAAAAGGAATAAAACAAAGAAAGTGTGAATGACTAGAAAATCAATGATGAAAAAGAAAGAAAGGTAAATGAATGAATAAATAAATAAAGAATGAAAGAAAGAAAAAGCAAAATAAATAAATCAATAAAGAAAGAAAGAAAGAAACAAAGAATAAAGAAATTAAAAGTGAAAGAAATCGAGGACGAAAAAGAAAGGAAGAAAGAAAAAAAGAAAAATAAACAGAAATTAAAAGTGAAAGAAATCAATAGCGAAAAAGAAAGAAAAAAGAAAGATAAAAAAGAAATTAAAAATGAAAGAAAGGAAAGACGAAAAAGAAAGGAAAAAGAAAGATGAAAAGAAATTAAAAGTGAAAGAAATCAAGAGCGAAAAAGAAAGAAAAAAAAGATAAAAAAGAAATTAAAAATGAAAGAAATCAAGAGCGAAAAAGAAAGAAAAAAGATAAAAGAAATTAAAAATGAAAGACGAAAAAGAAAGATAAAAAAGAAATTAAAAATGAAAGAAATGAAAGACGAAAAAGAAAGAAAAAAGAAAGAAAAAAGAAAGATAAAAAAGAAATTAAAAGTGAAAGAAATCAAGAGCGAAAAAGAAAGAAAAAAAAAGATAAAAAAGAAATTAAAAGTGAAAGAAATCAAGAGCGAAAAAGAAAGAAAAAAAATAAAAGAAATTAAAAATGAAAGACGAAAAAGAAAGAAAAAAGAAAGATAAAAAAAAGAAATTAAAAGTGAAAGGCATCAAGGTAAAAAAAAGAAACAAATAAATAAAATAAAGACCGAAAGCAAATAGAAAGAATATGAAAGAAAATGAATGAATTACAATGAAAAAGAATTGACGTCTGAATTGAAAAAGCATTGATTGAACACTGAAGAGAGACGAACGGCAAACCTGCTTTTTTAGTCTTGTTTTGTTTTCTGTATTTGCTTTTTGATATAAACATTATAAGGCAATATAAATGTTTTAGTATTCAAGAAGAAAAAAGTGTCTGAACGAGAAAGGCAACGAATATTTTGAACTAAGTAAATTTATTTATTGCTTGTAAAGGAAAAGAAACGAAACTGCTGCAACGAAGAAAAAAAAAAGAAAATTGCAATGAATGACACCAGTAAAGAAGGGATGCAATTTAGAGCTCTTTTAAGAAAGGTTATTGATTCTTTTGTCAAAGGTTTGAGAATAGAGGAGGGCAGGTAAAAATCGGTTTTCAATATGGCAGCAAATTTGTTTGTTGACGGATGAAGAAAAGGTCAAAACAGGCAAGCTGCAGTCGTTGGAGAAAATTAATTTGGAAGAACAGAAAAGAAAATGAATGTAGAACTGAAAAAGAAAGGGAAATAAATACAGAAATAAGTAAAAGATAAATAAAATTACAAAAAAAAAATAGAAAGGAAGAAAATAAGAAAAGTAATCAAAAATGAAGTTAAAGTGAAAGAGTAGAAAAAAAGAAAGTTCAGATCAAAAGATGAATTGAAACAAAAAGTAGAAAGAAAGACAGAAAGAAAGAAAAAAAGAAAGAAAGAAAGGAAGAAAGAAAGAAAAGAAAGTAAAAAAGAAAGGTTAAATTTAAAGTGTGGAAAAAAGAAAGAAAAGTAAAAAAAGAAAAGTTAAATTGAAAAAAAGAAAGAAAGAAAGAAAAGTAGCTAAAAAGATGAATTCAATGAAAATTAAAAAGAAATAAAAGACAAAAAGTTAAATTGAAAGAAAGAAAGAAAGAAAGAAAGAAAAGAAAAAAAGAAAGAAAATTAAAAAGAAATAAAAAAGCAAACAGTAAAAAAAAAAAAGAATGAATTCAAAAGAAAAATTAAAAAAAAAAGAAATAAAAGACAAACAGTTAAATTGAAAAAAAGAAAGAAAGAAAAGTAGCTAAAAAGATGAATTCAATGAAAATGAAAAAGAAATAAAAGACAAAAAGTTAAATTGAAAAAAAGAAAGAAAGAAAGAAAGAACAGTAGATAAAAAAATGAATTCAAAGAAAAAGTAGAAGGAAAGAAAATTAGAAAAGAAAAAAAAATTTAAGAAAATATAGAAAAATAAAGAAAATTAACAAAGTTAAATTACGAAAAGCAAAATATGAATTCAAATAAAGAAAATAAAGAAATATGAGCAAATAAGAAAGAAAAAGAAGAAATGAGACAAAGAGAAAAGGGAAATTTGAAAGAGAAGATAAAGAAAAGTAAGTAATAAGAAATAGAAAGAAAAGTCAATAAGAGAGAAAAAGAATGAAACGTAAATACGAGAAGACAAAAAGAAAGAAAGAAAGAAAGAAAGAAAGAAAGAAAGATCAGGTCTGAGAAAAAAGGATGACTGGGGTAACATTTAAGAACAAAAATGTACATAAGACAGTAAAGAAAAAAGATACAAAAAGAAGAAAAAAATCAAAGAAAGAGAAAGTGAAAAAGCAACTGATTGAGGAAGGGAATGAATAACTTGAATGAGACAAAAGATGATAATAATGAAGAATAAAAACGACATGAAAGGAAAATGAATGCAAAACGATTTGAGAAATAAAAGAAATGAAATCATTTTCTTTATTATCGTTATCGTAAAGAAATTATAAACTAATGAGATATTGGAAGATAATATGCATATGCACCTAACCACTGCAATAAAGATGCAGGATTTTGCATGAAAGACACAGTTGACCACATGGCAAGAATAGGAGAATTTTGTCTTCGAAAAAACTTCCTATTAGAGAAACTCGCTTCCAACCGAAGAAAAAGTTTCTTATTTTCATCAACCACCTTCCTTTATGCTATAAATTCCTAACTGTTATGGTCCAAGGTTAGAAACATGGAAGAACAACACGGAACACAAGAATAAAAATAACAAAGAATATATTACACGAAAAATAATACAAGAAGTGGAAGGTGTTAGTATGGCTGCCAGACTGGTTTGGCGTGAACTACTATCAGCTCGATTCAATTCAATACCGTCCCAATACCGATATTTAACAGTCCCCCAACGAGGAATGTATGCGGCACAAGGCCGAGTTTAACGTGGGTTTCTCGTAGGCTCGGCCAAAAATATACCCTTTGAATCCGCCTAGACGGGTTCAGGGCCTGTCTACCTCCCGGGACGAAACTTTGCCCTTCGGCAGAGCTTCGTCCGGGTTCCTCTCTGCCAAAGCAGAGAGTTCGACAGAAGTCGCACACAGTCAGAGACTGCGGGTGACTCGATTCAATACTGTCCCAATACCGTTCGTCTCTCTTGAGAGACGTAGTATATATAGCGTTAGGAAAAGTTCATTCTGTCAATCTAGGTAGGCATCCTAACACTAACTATTTCTGCTAATGACATAGTTATTTACTCCTTTCTTCGTAGCATGTCCGAGAGAATCGTCAAAGTAAAACTGGCATCTGCTCTCGAAAATGACCTTCAGTCAGTTTTCAAATGGCTTGTGAATTTTAACGCTTCCAAAACGAAACTGCTATCCTTTCGAGAACCATCTTTGCTTTCCATAAAGTAGGACTAATGCTAATATCGAGGAGAGCAACTCATTGCGCTTTCTTCGTTTCACATTTTCTATTGACCAACAAAGGGACGATTATATTGAATCAATTACTAGGACTGATGCTAAGAACTTTGATTCACTGTGTCGTAAGAGAATCCATTTTGAAAATTTATAAATCTACAATTCGACCGTACGTTAAAGATCTCTTCTATATCTCTATATATCTCGAGAGTCTCAACAAAATTCAAAGAAAGGTCTGTATTATTATCGAACCTGACCTGGTATCTCGACTTCAGTCACTTTTCCAGTGCCGTAACGTGGCTTCTGTCTTTTCTATAAATATTTTCATGTTCTAATGTGATCTCATCATTGATAGCCCAAACGCATGAATTTCAGTGTACTAATAGAATGGCTATCATACCCCAGCGTTTTACTGTTGAACTTGATAGATGTAACGACAATTATTTTAATATATTTTTTGTTTATACATTATTTTTATAGATACAAATATTTAAGTAAATACTCTGTTCATAATAAACTGTATTAACAACATTTACGGACCTGAATGTCCGAGAAATCTCAAAGAAAATATGCGTCCTCCTATAGGAATCGAACCTGTACCCTACACGGAAGAAGTCATGTAGGCTGACGGGCTATGCCATTTAGCTAAAGAGAAAGCGTCTGGGTAGCGAGGTTAAATTGCTGTTTTTAAACTACTAAGTAATTTAACCTTGCTAACAAATTGCTTCCTCTGTAGCAAAATGGTATAGCACGTCAGGCTATATGACGGTTCCGTGTAGGATATAGGTACGATTACTGTCGTAGGACATATATTTTCAAAAAAAAATTCTCGGACATTCAGGCCGGTAAATGTTATTAATACTGTTTATTATAAACAGAGCATTTACTTAAATATTTGTATCTATAAAAACAATATTTGCATCTATAAAAATATATTAAAAGAATTGTTGAACTTAGTCCATTTCATTATATATATATATATATATATATATATATATATATATAGTTTATGCAAAACTAGGTAATCCGTATGGGTAGACCCAAGGAGGATGATATCCAGAGAGCTCAATGTAAATTCAGAGCAGATATGTTTGAATAAAAACAGACCACTTTAAGGTTCCATGTAATAAATTATTTCACCACAACCCCTTTAACAGAGGTTGAAATGAAAAATGAAAAAATTTTTTTCGTTTTCCATTTCAACCTTTGGAAGTAAAGTCTGATGATCCAGAGCCCTGTTAAAGGTATTGTGGGAAAATAACTTATCACATGGAACCTTAAAGTAGTCTGTTTTTATTCAATATATATATATATATATATATATATATATATATATGAGATCATTGCAAAAGTTAGTGACCGATTTTCAATGTTAATACACAATAGCTGCAACATGACACTGGTTTTTTGTGTAGATTATTGGTTTGTTCTAGTCTCCTTCCATAGTCCAGTTGCCAGTCAAGTGGAATGTTGCCGTTTTGCCCGCAAATGAATGTCTTAAAGATGGAAGATGAAAAGTTTGACTCTCGCCATATTATGGTTCATGTGCGATTTTCATTCTTAATATAAATTGATGGCGTCTTGTTGGGGGTGTCGATTTCTACTGCGTTCTCGATTGAAACCTTACATCGTTCAGTTGCGTGTCAGGCTATGGTGAATGTTGACGTTTTGTCCTCAAATGTATCCCTTAAAGATGGAGGAATTAAAAGGAGTAAGCTTGGGAACTGCTACAGAAGGCTTATTTTGATCCAGCTCTTCGGAGAGACAAAAGTGGCCTGACAGATTTCGTCTGGGTGTTTTTAACGCAAACGATCAACCACGCCCCAGGCGAGCTTCCGACGTCGATGAAGACACTGCTTGATATCGTGGAGAATAAACCGATGATTTTGACCGAAGAGATTGCTAAGTGTTCAAAAATCGATATTTCAGCAGCCTTTCGCCATTTGAGGAGACTTGGACCGATTTCGGCAAATTGAAAAGGTGTCATTTTTCACCAGAACAACGCAAGACAGTATGTTGCAAAACAAAACTCGGAGAAGTTTAAAGAGTTGAAATTGGTAGCCCTCACCGAATTCTCCTGACATATTTCTTTCAGATTTTCAGTGGTTCCTGTCCTTACAGAACACTTTAAATGAAAAAAAAAACCCAAAAAACAATCAACTCTATAGAGTCAGTCGAAAACTACCTCACAACCTTATACCAACACAAAGCAAAACATTTCTATGAAAATGGCACCCAGAAGCTTATTTACATTGTTCGGGCTGTTGTCCTCATCTTCGTTGCCGTATTCACGACGTTTTGGTCGTTGTCCGCTCCGGCCTTCTTCAGGTGATTGGAATTTCGAACTGAACATTTTATTTCGTCCAAAGTGTTATATTGTTTCTAGTTCCACGTGTCATGCCTCTTCTGGATGTCTGCGCATCAGTTATCTCTTTTTAATTCAGCTCTTCAAGTTATTTTGTTCACCTCTGCTGTCGCCAGGTATTGAACTCACAACTCTTTGGGTCAAGTCATTGGATTCAACCAACGCCTTTTATCCACTGGACCGTGAGTCCTCAAGGGCGAAATAAAGGGGTCTGTTCGAAATCCCAATCAACTAAAGAAAGCCGAAGCGTACAATGGCCGAAACGTCGTGAATATGGCAACGGATATGAGTACCTAGGTCTGAACTATCTAAACGGTGTAAATAATTACAATAAATAATTACAATATCTCATCTCAGAAATATAGACAGATACCAAGAAGATTGTAGAACGATGCGAAACAGTTTGTTAAAAATCAGATCATTGCAAACGTTCATATGCGATTTTCATTGTTGATATAAAATGACGGCGTCTTGTTGGGGGTGTCGATTTCTGGTGCGTTCTCGATTAAAAACCTTACACCGTTCAGTTGCGTGTTAGGCTATCGTGAATGTTGACGTATTGTCCTCAAGTGTATGCCTTAAAAATGGAGGAATTAAAAGTTACATTTCCGCCATATTATGCACTATGAATTTCGGAAAGGAGTCAGCGTCGAAGCATTCAAAAGATTTATTTGGGTCGTGCTCCAGCTCTTTGAACGGTTAAAAAGTGGTTTTGCCGATTTCCTCGGGGTGCATTTGATCTGAATGATCAACCACACCCCTGGAGACCTGCTGACGTGAAGAATAGACAGAATATTTTGATAAAAGAGATTGATAAGAGTTTGGCAACCGACGCTTTTATCCACTGGACCGTGAGTCATCAAGGGCAAAATAAAAGGGGTCTGTCCGAAATTCCAATCAACTGAAGAAGGCCGAAGCGTACAGCGGTCGAAACGTCGTGAATATGGCAACAGATATGAGGATATCTCAGAAATATAGACAGATACCAAGAAGATTGTAGACCGATGTGAGACAGTTTCTTAAAAACTGTTGGTACGATGTACTTGACAAAAAAATATTTTTATATCTAAAATTTTGTTTTCATTATTCTTATCTTGAATATTTGTATTAATCTAATTGTTTGGAGTTTTATTTTGCGCCAGTTTAGGGAAATGCAAATCAAACAACAAACACATTTGTTTGTCAATAGAAGTGATGTTTACTAAATCTTGATTAATTAACACGAAATATTATATTCGAATTTTTGTCGGAAATGTTCATGTCCGAGGTGTATTGATTTCTTTGAAAGATGTCACGAAACATTCAGTGCTTGGGCGTTCTACCAGCGCCATTCACTTCAACTATCTTTTGTAAATATTTCTAAGAGTTTAGAAAATGAATAGTATTGTTAATTTCAAAACATTCTTCCACAACGTGTTACGTTACAAGACGACACTCTCATTTATTTAAGAACAAGTGCGTAATTTGTTATCACAAACATATGGTTCCATCTCTCTCTCTCTCTCTCTATATATATATATATATATATATATATATATATATATATATATATATATATCCAGGTAAGATTTCTTACGAAATGCCATTGTGTTGTGCGTATAATATGTATCCATTAACATCCTCTTCTGCTTAATGTCTTTGCTGCCATTAACTGCCCATCCAAGGCCCATGACACACTTATAATTT